ACACAAGCACACACACCTGCATGCACAGACACAAGCACACACATGCGTACATAGACACAAGCACACACACCTGCATGCACACACACAAACACACACACCTGCATACACAGACACAAGCACACACACATGCATGCTCAGACACAAGCCCAGCCACCTGCATGTATAGACACAAGCACACACACCTGCGTACATAGACACAAGCACACACACCCGCATGCACAGACACAAGCACACACACATGCATGCTCAGACACAAGCCCAGCCACCTGCATGTATAGACACAAGCACACACACCTGCGTACATAGACACAAGCACACACACCCGCATGCACAGACACAAGCACACACACATGCATGCTCAGACACAAGCACAGCCACCTGCATGTATAGACACAAGCACACACACCTGCGTACATAGACACAAGCACACACACCTGCATGCACAGACACAAGCACACACACCTGCATGCACAGACACAAGCACAGACACCTGCATGTATAGACACAAGCACACACACCTGCGTACATAGACACAAGCACACACACCCGCATGCACAGACACAAGCACACACTTGCGTACATAGACACAAGCACAGACACCTGCATACATAGACACAAGCACAGACACCTGCATACATAGGCACAAGCATCTTCCCGCTATCACGCACGTGTGCGCTCACGCATCGCGCTACGGTAATGTAACCATCATACACGCACGCATGATAGAAGTATTCTATATATATTATCAGCCTCCTGATATCATCATTATAATGGCGACACAACACACTCGCAGCGACGAGTACGGGAGCGGCTAGTTCTGCATTAGTTTTTGTGAAAGCAAGTTTATATATAGTGACCCAACAATGGAAGTGTTTTTTTCAGTTTTTACTGACTCTGTCCCATGTGCCTGTGAATGTAACCATCGTGCACACACGCGATTGAATTCTTCTATCATAATAATATCCAGAGCATTGAAACACTCTGTTATCTTTCTGTGACATCAGCAATAAAAATATTTGCCTGTATAGCTGCTGTTTTTCCGTATAGGTGAATCCGTTTATAGGAGGTTTCCATGACAGCGTCCTACTGTACGCGCATGCGCTCAAAGATTTACTCGCCGACGGTGGCGACCCCCGATCCGGCCACGCTCTCACCGCTCTCATGTGGAACCGGACGTTTACAGGTTTGTAACAATAGAGAGAGAAAGCGTAAGACAGAGATAGATATAAAGATAGATAGAGAGAGAGAGAGAGAGAAAGGGCAAGAAAAGGGCAGAGAAAGGAGAGTGAGAGGGAGAGTGAGAGGGAGAGTGAGAGAGAGAGTGAAAGGAAAAGAGAGAGAGAGAGAGATAGCGGGAGACAGAGTGAGAGGTAGAGAGAGAGCGAGAAGGGGGGGGGAGAGAGTGAGAGTGAGAACGAGAGGGAGAGTGAGAGGGAGAGTGAGAGAGATAGCGGAAGACAGAGTGAGTGGTAGAGAGAGAGAGAGAGAGGAGGGAGAGTGAGAGGGAGAGTGAGAGTGAGATAGCCCTAATTAGTATTGAGTGCAGACGGAAGGACGTGTCTAGTATAGCTATTAGACAAATATCTATAGCAAAAGGAGAATACAAGAGAACTCTAACAGTGAATTTTCGTCGTGTGAGTATTTAGAAAGAGAACGTACTATACCAACCAGGCAACGATTCAATAATGAACATACTATAAAAGCACATCTAGATGATGGACTTACTATACCAGAACATCTGTCGAGTGAATCTCGTAAAAGAAAGGCACGCAATACAATCTCAGCCAACGGTGTAGCGACCGTCTCTCAGTCTATGAGCCGGTGAAGGGAGTGTTCGCCAAACGGATATCGACGATAAAGGATAGGAGAAAGACAACGACAGTGCGTACATCCATTGCACAGCCGCGAATAAAGCAAACACTGCCGCCACAAGACCGCCCAACCGAAACAACACCGACATCAATCATCTACGGAAAGAGCGTTCACTCACGGAACAACTCGCCATCAGAGAACATTCGCCATCAGAACTTCTACAGAAAGAACGTTAGCGTGAGAAACCTCACGGAAGCTGTACCCGGAGGCCGGAACACCGGAACGCCGACGGAACGTCCGAAAGATCGTGGAACCTACAGGAACAGCAGCAACATCCAAAAGACGTTGAAAAAATCTCCGGAACGCATTGCTGCGTCGCCATGGCAGCGCTCTTCGCCGTCGGCCTCCTCCTCCTCCTGCTCCCGTGCGTCGCCGCCGCGACGGTGGCGCCACCACCGGAAGTTCGCCTCGTCTCGATCCTCGTCGCCGGCGGCAGGCTTCCGTACGACATGTACCGCGCCGCCCCCGCCATCACGATGGGCATCGAGCGCGCTCGTCGGCTGCTCAACGACAGCGCCACCTTGCGGCACGAGTTCGTCTACGGCGGCTCGTCGCTCTGCTCGGCCGACTACGTCGGCGCCATCGCCGCCGAGATGTACTACCGACGCGACGTCGCCGCCTTCGTCGGCCCCGGCTGCAGCTTCGCGCTCGAGCACCTCGGCCGCATGGCGGCGGTGTGGGGCGTGCCCGTCGTGACGAGCGTCGGCACGAACGGCGTGCTGGGCG